TAAAACTAACACAATTATTAATGAAACTAATAAAAACGAAACTAAATTTTATTGCAAATTTGAAAACGATATTAAAATAAAATGAATTTAAAAATGCAAAACTATAATAACCTTGGTCTCCAGCAACATTTACAGGTTTTGTTGTTGTTATATATATATTTTTTTTATAATTATCTTCTGCTCACCAAGGCTGCATTTATTTGATCCAAAGTACAGCAAAAACAGTAACATGTTGAAATATTTTTACTATTTAAAATTGCTTTCTATTTTAATAGATTTTAAAATGTAATTTTCACAGGTAATATTCCTGTGATCATGCATAGCAAAATTTTCAGCAGCCATTACTCCAGTCTTCAGTGTCACATGATCCTTCAGAAATCATTCTAATATGCTGATTTGCTGATTATCAATATTTAAAACTGTTGAGTATTTTTTTTTTTTCAGGATTCTTTGATGAATAGAAAGATCCAAAGATTCGCATTTATCTGAAATAAAAAGCTTTTTTGTAACATTATACACTATTCCATTCAGTATCATTTTTATTAATTTTTTGGGAAAGAAATTATAGAAATTAATACTTTTATTTAGCAAGGATGCTTAAAAATGGTCAAAAGTGATGATAAAGGCATTTATAATGTTACAAAAGATTTCTATTCCAGATAAATTGTGTTCATATCGATATCGGAATTATATCGTATCGACCGAAATTAAGAAATATAACGTGATATAAATTTTGGCCATATCGTCCAGCCCTACCATCCACTCCCAATATAAAGTATGGATTAGCCTGGACATTATTTAATATAATTCCAATTGTATTTGTCTGAAATAAGAATGTCATATACACATGGGATGGCTTGAGGGTAAGTAAAACATGGGGTAATTTTCATTTTTGGATGAACTATCCCTTTAAGGTAATTGGCATGGTTTATTATTTTTGCTTTTTATTATTATATTGTGTTTATTGATTCTGATATATATGTGTTTGTGTGTGTGTGTGTGTGTGTATATGTATATGTGTATTGTCAGTAAAATGTCCTTTTGTATTTTAGGGTGAACGATCCCTTAAACATCATCCCACTAAACATCAGCAAGGCCAGATCAGATCAGTCACCTCTCCACTTACTGACTAGAAATCAAGCCGATAGAGGACATAGACGTGTGGTCAGATTATGGTCAGGGTGGTTGTAAATCTGATTAGTGTTGTTTCTAACCTGCAGTGGTGCCACAAATGGCATTAATTGTTCTTATCGGACTAATAAGACCCTCCTTTCCTCCTCGACCCACAGATCAGAGTGACTGCTCATCAATTTATCGGATACGAGCTGTTGCTATTAGTCTGTCTGGATTTTACGGCCCTATCCTGTAAACACGAGGGTAACAGGGGCCACTGAGTCCAATTTATAGAAGCTCGACAGGCTGTTTACACAAGCCAGACAGAAAAATGGTTCTGATAGTAGATCTTTTGATCAGAAGAGCTGATCTCCTGTGTGGTGGTATATAGTTGAATGCATTTTAACCTTGACAAATTCGAAACTGCTTTGCTGATGGTTAATATTAAAACAATATAGGGAGAGGAGGTCACTAGAGCTTTTGGTGTGGAATCAGAGTCCATTTGTCATCAGAGGTTTGGTTGGTGTGAAACTGTAATCAAATTCTGGTATGGACTAAACAATCACAACACACCCTAAAATTAGACCTAAGTTTAAGATTTATCATAGCAATACGTTTATTAGTTTATTAAATAAACAAAAATTTGTGTATTTTTATATGCTAAAACATATATCTTAAATTTAGGCTTTAATATATATTTTGTTTGAATGCAAGTTTAAAAACAATTGTGTGAACGAGGTTGTTTGGAAAGAGATCGAATCATTGATTGCGTCAAACCGATTTCTGATTTCTCATAGCAGTTGTGCATTTTGCACCCCAAGACATTGGCTTCTTTCCTTTTTCTCTGCTGCTGCTCTCCTCCTACGCCATCAGATAGGTGAGGTTTTGACCTTAATTCTTCACAGTCTGTCAGCCGCTCCCGGGCTGGCACTGCAGGTCATCAATAATGTCTGGCCCAGCATTGCCCACTCTTGGCACGGCGGACCTGTGACTGCACTGCACCCTGCCAAGCCCCGGGAGAATTTATTAATGAGACTAGCTTGAGTGGGCATAAGTGAGAAAGTGTGTGTATATGTGTGTATCTATGTGGGTGTGAGAGAGAAGGCAGCCTTTTTCAGTCTTGCTGCAGGGGTTTCAAACTGTAGTACTAGGGGTCTGTCTCCAAGATACCCATTTATTAGAGGAACTGTTTCGCCAGCCATCTCTGAAACACGGGTAAGAGTCAGGAAATGCCCTCCGGGTCAGTTCTCCAGGGAACAAAATTCACTGGATGCAGACACCTTACCTAACTGTGTCTCACTGCTCTGCGGTTATTTTACTTAATGGAATTAAAACCATAAACAGTTGCAGAAATGTTAACTGAAAAAAATAAACACAATTTTGTACATTTCTTTGTAAACTTTTCCTGCCTGTCAGGTTTTTTTTTTTTATTAAAAAGCTATATATATTTTTTGTAGAACAAATTCAATCTACCATGTTTGCATTAAAAAAAAGAGAGAATGTAGTGGCAGTCTGATTGCATTTGCTCTACATGACCTGTGCCTAGTTTATCAAATAGTAAAATGTTTTACCCTTTAACTGCTCAATAAAATGGATCTTTCTGTAGGTATTTGTAAGTGTGCCTTAAAATGCTATCTAAGTAGAGAGTTCATTACATTTCCATCGTTACAAATCATAACACTTCTGTCTTTATTTCCCAGCAGGCTGACATCACTGTCTTCTAAGGGGAGAGGAGTGTGTGTGTGTGTATTGCCTTAGCATCAGCAGAGGGCCTTTTTTGTGTGTGAACAGCAGGACAGCACAGCCATAATTAAGACAATTAATTCAAACGGAGAAGAGAGTTGCACATTAGCCAAAACATTTGCACACTGCTGATTTCAGCCGCTGGCTTTAAGAAATGTCAGTGGCATCAGGGCTAATCTGATTAAGTGTCTGTTGTCTGTTAATGCACAATTAAAGGAGGGGGAGTAGTGTGTGTCACACATATACTCACACTCTCCTCTCCCTCTCGTTTTTCCCATTGTCCTGCTGTGGGAAAATTTGATTTGATTCGATCCAATCCAATCCAATCTAATCCAATCCAATTTAATTATTACACTAATAAAATAAAATACCGTCCTTATGTGGTTTGCTATTCTTAAATTAATTTAAATTTCTAAAACTTGTCTAGTAACTGGCTGGTATTTAGCTGGTTTAAGATAGTTTAAGTAGTTAATTAGTAGAAAACCTCTTCATAACCACCATATTTTTGGAACTGATAAAAAAATCAGATACAAGTATTAAAGAAAATATACAACACAGTGGTTGTCTCATTTGCAATATATATTGCAGTACAGAAATGCAACATGTATCGTTGATAGCGACAATATGTATTGTTACAGTGGATCTAAAATATTAATAATTAATCATAATTAGTTATGGTTAATTATTCATATTTCCTGTTGTGAGCTAAATTCGCTACAATAGTTTATCAAAAAAAAAGAAAGCTTAGATTTAATTTGAGCTTCCATGTTTATTAATTATTGTTAATAAATCTGAAATAAAATATATATTTTTAATAAAACACAACATTTAAAACTTTCACAGAGTGTTATACGTGTCTTCATTATTTTGTATTTTTAGCTAAGCATGAACATGAATATTTCTTTTTTGGTTAATGAACAATGCATAATATACATATGTCGAACAGTACATAATGTACATATGTCTTAGATGTAACCATTCAAGAAAAATAATAAATCAATTCATAATTTTTTTACTCTTTGTGGCTTTGTATCGTTACAGTATCATAGCGTAAGGTCAGTATTATGTATTGAACGAAAAGTGATTTGAGTGTATTGCTACTCTTCTACTCATTCGCAATGTTTTTATTTATTTTAAAGTGACTTGCCAAATAGCACGACCTTGGGGACTGCCATCCTATCACCCTCTTCTTCTTTCAAATTGGTGTATCTTACAGTCTTTCTTTCAGTTTGCATCTTTTTGTCTACCTTTCTCTTGCTCTCTGACCTTGGCCTTATCATATTAATGCTCCTCTATTTCCTGTAAGAACTGCTCAATGGCTTCGTCTTCAGATTGGGCTGTTAGGGAAGAGTTCACCAGGTGCCTATCAGGCACATTTATCCCAGACTGCTCCAGAAATGAGTCAAGCAAATAAGCAGGGGAAGAGGTGCCCCTGACACAGAGTACAAATTATTCACCCCACAGAGGCTAATGTACATTAGTACGGTGGCGTCTGCTGCCGGGAGGAGACAACAGGGATAGGTATCCCCACAGCTCTTCTGCTGTGAGCCGCACAACTGCAGGTTTTACAAAACGCTCATTAATCCACCACTGATGGTTTGGTCTCACTACAGTCGTATGGCAGGGGAGCTGGAAGACCTGGTAGTAGAAAATACCTAGATATGACTTATCAATGCTCAGAGATAAAGAAAGACAACATAGTATAGCAGGGACATTAATAATTTATTAATTATTATTAACAAAAAAGAATATTAAATATTAAATACCATAAATATGAAAGCCATGATAAACTACAATTTGTAATATGTTTATTCATCAAGGATGCATTAATTTGATAAAAATTGACAGTAAAGACATTTAATGTTACAAACGTTTTCTTTTTCAAATAAATGCTGTTCTTTTGAATTTTTTTTTTCTAATAATCCTGAAAAAAAATACTGCATGTATCTATAGTTAGTCATAAGGTGCAGTATAAGGAAAATAATGTTTGACAACCATGCAGCAAATGTAACATTCATAAATGTATAGAACATGACGGTGTTCTGTGAAGATCATAAAGTGATGTGACATGTTGGGGAAGAATTTGAAAGGGTTTGTCTGATTGATCAAACTAGTAAGTCTCTCGAGGCTGTTGTTGTTTTTAAGATGGGTAATTTAAATCATCCTAACTGTGGTAAAATAATGCAATTAACAATTTTGTTTTATTATTTGCAGTAACAGCATTAAGATAAAATCCACACCAATGTTTTGTTTGTTTGTTTGTTTACATTTGTATGATTTGTAATAATATGGTCTATTTGATGAAGATCTGGTATTTGGCTATTGGCTTTTTTAATTTTTGCAGTAAATTGCGTTTCTAAGTTTGAAACTCAATTTGTAGGTTTGTCATCTGAGTGCCATCTGTGTCGGCTCTTGCGGTTATAACTTCAGCTTAAATCTGATGTATCTCTGAAAGCCAATGTGGAAGCTGACATCTGTTCAATCTGTCTGAATGCGTCTCTCCATCTTAGCTGTAGGAGATCTTTCTGATTGGCCTGTGGTCTCCAGAAAATGTTAAATCTTTCTAGTAGATGATGACCTGCTGCGGTAGCAACAGTAATTATGTGTATGATTAGCTTTCACATGCTGATTCAGAGTGAGCTTATCTAAGCGACAGATATTTGATCATAAGGTCTCTTTTCAAGCAAACACTTTGATGTTTTGGTATATACAGTGCCTTTTATTGAGACCACTGAAACTATGATAACCAACCCATTATGCGTTTGGTAATAAATACTATATTTCTGCTGGGAATAGGGCATAACACAGTTTATCACAGAGAGGGCAATGTGTGGAACTGAAAAAACATGCCATATGGGTGGGTGAGCCATCTAGAGGGAGAGAGATGTTGAGCGATACAGCGCCTGGGTGTAGCTAATATGAAAATATTTCTAGACCTTTTCTAGAAATATATTGCATTGGAAACAGACCACATTAAGTCAAGCTACACTGACCCATGCCTAGTAATGATTTATGGATTGATCCCCTGCTATTATGATGAAAAAAAGTCCTTGGCTTGATACCTGCACTACAATATTTTCCAATACCTCTAGCACTGCCTTTTTAGCCATTTCCAATTAATAGACTGTCGGTGTCATTTTGAGCTGACTTAGAACTTTTGTTGGTAGTGCCAGGGCAGGGTGCAGTCAAAATTGTTATTGATTGTTGTGAGTTTCTAAAGTGAACCCACACATAAACAACATTTTAAAGGTGCTGGAAACAATTTCAGTCATAGTGCTAACTTCAGACATTTTGTTAGCTTCAACCACACGGCCACTCTTCAAAACCCCATCCAATTCACAGAAAAAGAGTGTTTCTGATTAGACAGTTTTCCGATTTGTAGGCCTATAAAAAAATAAATAACTAAATCAATTAAATAATAATAATAATAATAATAATAATAATTAAGGCAATAATATAATTATTACTTGAACAGTAAATACATGAGCAGTTGTTTTTGTTGTATAATTTCATATAAATTGTATATTTAAAGCAAAAACAGAATGGTCTGTTTTGTTCTGGTACATACAACAACTGCACACAACAAAAACAAAGGAAAATGCAAATGTATTATCTGATAACAGGTGGTGCTTATGGAACAGCAGCGATATAGTTTCCTTGGTTACCGCTGAACAGCAGCGATACGGAGTTTACTTGGTTACGCAGCGATACAGAGTTTACTTGGTTACCTCTGTAAACAAAGCAGCTGCACTTATAGACAATACTTTAATATGCATTATATGGAGGTAAGAGGAAAATAAAATGCCATCGAAACATTTCTGAAGATGGTCAGTTCCTTTCAGGAGATACATTCATTTGTGTGCAGTTCTGTAATAGAGATCGGCCAAAATAAAACTAAAAACCAGTTCCGATTTATAGGTGGTCGACCAGTGCATCTCTTGAACCCAAAACTTTCCCACACTGCTGATTTAAAAACGAGCAGGATGTTCTTCAAGCTTTTGCGTGCCATTTGAGCTCGTCATTCTTGTTTTGGATTGGTGCGTAGATCCAATGCATTGTGCGTAGTTTGCATTACTGCTTGCACCCCCCCATTCTGGATTGATTGCCTATGACTGACTGTATTTGTCGTCTGAC